CAAACCATCGACCATTGTTGACTATAATTCTGCAAAATCTGTTATTAGAATTACTAACAAATACCGAAATTGTGAACTCCTTAGTTCTTTACAAATCTGTTACCGGCAAACATATCACAATTACTGAGTTCCGTGAACAGACTGTTCAAAGTCTTTTAATGCCACAAACAACTTCTGAAAATACTTTAACAACTCTGCATACGTTGGACGAGAAAGAGAAAAGGGGAAGGTGTTCAGTATGTTATAAGAACGTTTCGAACCGTGAAGGAAGAACATCAGCGATGAAGAATGCCAAAAGGGTGTACACTTTTTGTCCGACATGTGCCGTTACTACCGCATATATGTGTTTTAATTGTTTTGTGAATATTCATACATGTTCTTTGAAAAAATAAAATGTTTTTGTATTTTTAAACTTAAAATATCCTAGGAATAAGGTATTTGATTATCTTCCTGGTGTGGGCCAATATGGCACACATGGTCCACATTAAAACAAATTACAAAAATAATTACACTAGTTTACAACAAATTTGTGACTCGATTGCAAAATGGTGTTTTTTGTTCATTTTAGCTCTCTGAACATGAATAATGATGATACAAACTTCGCAACACGTAAGATTTTTGAGTTATGATTTAAAAAAAAATTAAGTAATTTAATAAAAAAAATACAGTCATTTGTAATATATCGAAGCGAAATGTTCAAAGTCCAAAAACGTGATAGTGTTAACCCCGCGGATAGTTTTTGCTACGTATGTGGTCAGTTTACTCCCAAATCGCAGAAAAGGACAATTAATAAGAAGACAAAAGTAGCTTACGATAAATATTTGGTATGTGTTATTGGCGATCAAGATCGGGACTGGGCTTCTTACATATGCTGCCAAACTTGGGCAGCAAATCTAAGTAATTGGTTTAATGGTAAACGCTGTTCTATGCCGTTTGCAGTTCCGATGATTTGGCGCGAACCAACAAATCATTTTAACGACTGTTACTTCTACATGGCAAAAGTGTCTGGGTTTTGAAGAAAGCACAAGCATAAAATTGAATATCCAGATATTCCCTCAGCAATAATACCAGTTGTTCATGGAGAAGATTTACCAGTTCCAGGACCCCCGGCAAATTGGAAGAAAGATTTGGAAATGTATTACGATAAAAGTAAACACGATGATGTATTAGAAACGGACGATTCTTATTTTTCCGAAAGCGATGATAAAGCACCCCATTTCATCTAACAAACTGAATTAAATGATTTAGTTCGAGACCTTCACTTATCCAAAGAGCATGCTGAATTTTTAGGTTCTCGATTACAACAATGGAATTTACTAGCCAGTGAAACCAAAGTTACAATATTTAGGAACCGTAAGCAGGAGCTATCCTCGTTTTTTACTATGTAGAATGAAATGTGTGTTGTGCTAATCCAAATAGTATTATGGAAAAATAAGTATTTACACATAACCCAGAAGAATGGCGTTTGTTCATACATTCTTCTAAATCAAGTCTAAAACCAGTTCTGCTTCATAACGGCAACAAAAGACCATCTATTCCACTTGAGTATGCAGTTGATATGAAAGAAACACACAAAAGTATGTCGCTGATCCTAAATGCGGTAAGCTGTGATACATATAAGTGGCAAATATGTGGTGACTTAAAAGTCATTGGATTATTACTAGGTAATAATCCGATAATAATAATATTCAGTGAGGATTTACAAAATTTTGCTGTTTTCTTTGTCTTTGGGACAGTGGAGCAACACAGAGCCATTACCAAGTTAAAGAATGCTTACCAAGAGATCAGTACATTCCAGGTCAATCCAACGTAAAGAATATACCTCTCGTTGATCACAAAAACGTTCTGTTACCTCCGTTACATATTAAACTGGGATTGATTAAAAATTTCGTCAAAGCATTCGATAAAGAAGGAGATGCGTTTAAATACATTAAACAAATGTTTCCTAAGCTAAGTGACGCGAAGCCTAAAGAAGGGATATTTATTGATAGGGATATTATTGGACCACAAATCAAAAAAATACTAAGGTATCAACAGTTTGATGATTAATTAAGTGATGTTGAGTTAGTTGCCTGGATTTCTTTCAAAAGAATTATTTTCGTGTTTTTGAGAAACAAAAAAGCAGATAATTATCAAAATGTTGTAGAAGAACTACATTGCTGCAAAATGGGCTATCGCATGTCTCTAAAAATACACTTGGTTGAGGAAACAACATACTGTTGGTTCCTCATGAGGGAAAGTGATACAGAGTATAAAAGGAAATCAGCGTTTGCAAAGAATTTGTGTACAAAAGATTTACCATAGTTTTTATTTCTAGTTCTGGACTTATTTATATATAGTATATAAGAATTTTTATAATAAATAACATTATTTGATGCATTCTATAACTTAAAATATACCTATACGTGGTGAGAAATTTTGGTGTTTCAATTCGTAATTAGGATGCCCCCCGGTACAGCCATTTAACATCAGTCGCAATTTTTTTTTAAATTTGTTGACTAGTGTTATAAATAGACCGTGTGTATTGTGTTGGTACATGCTGTTTTTTACTTAAAAAAAATTATTTTTTTTATTTTAGAATAGAAATAAATAGCTATACAAATTCTTATTTCAAAATTTTTAAAAAAATGTTCCGGCCTGACAGAAAACTTAACGTGTTAAACTTTGACAGATTTTTGATAATTCCCTATTTGAATTTTAAATATATTAAATGTTTAAAATAAAATTATACAGGCACAAAAAACTGTATCGAATTCAGCGTTGGCCAGTAGAAATCATGCAAGTAGACGTTTTTATTTCCATTTCTAAGATAACCAAAAAAATATATTTACGCGTAAAACTTTACTTCTTTTTGTACTATGTTAGAACTATCCGTAGCTGCCGATTACCATAGCATCACAGAGTTTCGTATTTAGGTGCAACCTTAAATGGTTCTCAACCTCAAACGACGTCTCCAACATATGACGTATAAAGGAATTAGCGAAACGTCCACACGTCGCTTAAATCTTATGGTAGTTGATGTTATCGCATTCAAAATGGACAAAGTCTAAACGTTACAAACAAACGCACATGGAAACTTGGCTAAGGATAAGTTTATTGTCTAGTGTACGAAAATCGCCATTTATTAAGAAATGTATGGTCTTCGGAGTCAAATTTACCTTAAATGTTATATTACCATATGATATTGTAGAGAAATCACTCCATAGTAAATAAGTTACCATTTGTATGCTGTGTGTAACGTCGCCAGCATCTCTTTGTATGCAAGCATCTCCTCCGATAGCTACCCCTACCATCAATACCTACTGGAGACGGAACACCGACGACGATATAAAACTGCAACAGAGAGCAGAGTTCGAACTGGAGATCTAATCCGGTAAAAACTCCAACCCCAGGTTTTTAAGTATTGATCAAAGACCAAAAGTCCTGTGAGTTCCAGCTATAGTAGTGATCTGGTAAGAGCTCCTACCCCGGATCTTTGAGTATTGATCAAAGACCAACACCGCTTCCCATTTATTGTTTTCGTTATCGAGTAGTGTCTGTGTGCTGATTAACCTTTTAGCGACAAATATTTTAAAAGTTAAAGATGCTATATTAAATATTTCTTTTAGAGTATTTAAGGAACTGTATGATAATATCGTTAATAGTTTTTGTGTTGAAGCTTAGTATGTGTGAAATAGTTAGCAGTAAACTTACATTCTGCTTTTGAAGTCAAGCCATTATTTCGTTTGTAGGGTATTCATTTAGTTTACAATTAAAGATTATATGATTTAATTTTGCGGTAGAGTTGTTATCACATAGACAGCGAGAGTTAATACGCATTCCAATTTTAGCTAAATGTATAGAAAATTTACTTTGATCAAGTAAAAGGCAAATATCGAGCACAGTTTAATTTAATCTTGCTCAAGTACTTTCGCTCCCTAGAGCATCTTCGGGGGCATTTCGTCAGTTGTGGCCTATCCGATAAGAATAAAATGTTATAAACATAAAATGGTACATCACTCTACACTTCACAAGGACAAACACATTAAAATTATTAAAAATAGGCGAAGCTACATTGTGTACGGAAGTCGGAGACAGAATGGCTCCGGTCTAACGGAAATGTTGAGGTGACATGTGACCCTCGATATTTGCCTTTTACTTGATCAAAGTTTATTTTTATTCGAGCATTCAACCTTATACCAATTTATAGGAAATTTGTCGTCGTTTAATCTTAAACGGCTAAGGGATGATGACTAGAATCGACTAAGGTGATAATTAAATATATGTGGCATGTTTTACGGAAGTCTGGGTATATGTTATAAGTGTATGGATTATTCGATTTTTGAACAAACTTGAGCCAAATAGTTTTTTTTTAATTATTTATGCAATTTTGTAATGTAGTCGCTAAAAATTATTAAATTTTCTATTTTATTTAAATTTACCTAATTTTTCCACTACTTCAATATTTTTTATGTCCTTTTACCCAAATAAATATCAAGTCATTGCTATTATATTTAAATCGAGCGCGTGTATCTGAGTATGGGATTATTGGTCCATATTATGTTGAAAATAAGAACAAGCATCCAGTTAGTGTTAAATAAGAGCGATAAAAATAAAACGTTATTACACCTTTTTTTTACGAAATTTTTGCCTCGCATGTAATCTACAGATGCACAAGCAATGGTGTAATTTAGCGTTTCGTATGAATTGTATCTAGTTATATAAAAAATATGTCAAATATTTTAAATATAAAATAAACTGATATATTTTAAAAGAAAAACACGCGTACTCATGCAATATGAGTGCTAGAAATCAGGTCGCGATGAGTTTTTGCCGTAATTGCTCAGATTTACCTCCTGTTTGCTTTTGTAAATTTTAGACAGATTTGTTATTTTTTAAAATTGATTTCAAATGTAAAAGAAATTTTGGTATTTCTATTTATATTTAAAAAAATTTAACTTGTGTACATTTTTCTATGTTTTTGTTTATTATTGATATAATTTGTTTTTTGTTTGTTATAGTTAATACCCGAAACAGTGATGTTGATCTCAGCAAGTTGTACGGGGTTGTACTACAGGCATATGACGGAGGAAGCCCATAGAAGGACTTTTGTAGGAACGAGAACTTGTATTGAATCTCGCGTAAAATTGGAATGCGAAAAAGAACAACAGGAACAACTATTATTGAGCGTTATTCCAGCGTACATAGCAGCAGAGGTAAGTTTAAGACAAATATTTGCAAACTTGTAAAATAACTTTGCATAAAATGAACCAATTTAACATTTTTCGGAAAAGTTTGTGCTGCTTTTTCTTAATTTATTAAGTATGTTAATTTTAAAAAAATAACTGACTGTTATTTTAAAAGGTATATATCTTTGTATACTTCTTTAAACCATTTTAATATCATTAATTCTTATTTATGATTATAAAATATTCAATCAATTAGTATTAATTATTATTAATTATAACTTATTATTATTCTGGAGTCCCTTGTAGTTTATTATTTTTGCTTATGACCGCATCGTTTTATTTTTGCATATCTAAATTTAACAACATTTTACAAATTTATGGTATGGTATTAATGCATTATTTATAGAATTAACAATATAACACAAGCAATAATTTCAACAAACTGCGATATTCAGGCAATATGGAAACAGACGAAACAAATGAGTTTCAGTTAACACAGACAATGCAGTCACTCAAATTAGCAAATAGAGGATTGCCGTCAAATTTTTTTGTTTGACTTACTTTAAGATATAAATTATTAAAATTTTTAAATTCTATTGGAATATCCTGGTGTTGTTGAAATTTCCTCCATTCGTTATCGATCATTTTCATTATTTTTTTTTTTTATTTTGAAGATTATAAAGTAGCTTACAGAAGTTTAAAGTAGCTGTTAGTAGTTTTAACAAAATGTTAAAGCTACTTAAATTTTATTTAGAATCCGTATCTTGCTTATAACTACATTTGCCAAATTATTTTTTCATTTTTTTACTGCCTGGATTCCATATTATCGATTCTGATTCTGTTCCTTGTATGTCTATATATACTCATAATGACTTGCCTGAGTTTGATTTTCACAACTTTCTTTTTTAAATATATGTTATTCACTTTCCTTGGAGTACTATCAAATGCCTTTTCTAGTTCTATAAAGGCATGGTATAACTCCGTGCTAGAGTTCCGTGCGCTTTGTATTAGTTTCTTGATAGTAAAAATATGATCCTGAATGCTTCTGCTTTTTCTAAATCCACTCTATGATTGTTCCATTTTAGAATCAACTTCTTGTAAATGACGTTTTTCTAGTATTCTCTCATATACTTTGGATGGAATGCTCAGTAGTGTTATTCCTGTGTAGTTATTATATTCTAGCCTATCTCCCTTTTTGAAAATGAATAGGATAACTGTGAACCTACGTTGTTAACTTATGACAAATCTGTCAAATTCAAACCATATATTATATCCTAAATTCCCACCGCAGGATCACTACGTAGTTAATCAAACTCACATTTGAACATACATTTAAAATTGGAAGAATACATTGATAATAGATTGCCAGTCAAAAAATGACCGCAAATATTTTGAATTCAATTAGTAGTAATTAATTTTTGACACAAATTTTATTTCGTTCATTTGTTTTTTAAATAAAATACGCTGCTTATGACGTATATGCATGTTTTTTATATCAAATTAAACCAAATTTTTTTCTTAATATAATGATATAAGTTTTCCTAAGAAAAATGGTCGAAAATTAAGGTTGCTACCTGTTGAAAACGCAAACTATCAAAGATAAAACTAAATACAGTTAGCGTGCAACGCTACTAGTTTGAACTGTTAGTTGTGAGTTTTTCAAGCATGTTTCCACAGATATTATAATAATATTTATATTATCACTTGTTACTCTTTTTACTCTATTTTACCTAACTATATTTTACTTTATCTTAAATACCTCGTGTTTTTAACAGATGGCCACCCTAATTTGCAACCATTTTTTCTTAAGTAACCTGATATCATATTAAGAGAATACATTAGCTTTCATTTCATATAAAAAATGTGCATGCACGTTAAAAGAAGCGTATTTTTTTTAATAAATGAATGAAATAAAATATTTGCAGCTACTTCTTGGCTAGTAACCTATTATCAATGTATTCTCCTAACTTAAATTGTATGTAAAAATGTGAGTTTGATGAACTTCGTTATGAACGTAGTGATCCTGCAGTGTGGTCTTGTAATATTAATAATAAAATATAAATAAATATCATTTGATATTATTTTTAATTATTATAATAACTAAATAATATGTTTAAAAATAATAAATGTGTTTTATAACATTATTTTAAAACGCGAATTATTATAAAATTTAAACAGATGATTCAATGTTTTTATTTTTCGGATGACATTAATGACTTATAATAAATTTTGACAATCGTTATGTATCTCTTGATAACAGATATTCTTTTAATATTCTATATTTTGTTAGTTCCTTTTTATAAAGTTTTTAATTTAAACCTTCTTAGAGTAAATATATGATGACTAGAATCGAATTGATCGAGAGTAGTGAATTGATGTCATTCAGAAAAAAGTAATACAACTCTAGTATAGAAGCTCAGCTTCAAAAATGGCTACTCAGATGCTGAAGACTATCAAGGGCTTGACGGCTCCAATCAGAGTCCTGTAGGCGAATCTCCAGTATAGTAAGCCATCTTATTTATAGCCAATCATTTGAGGTTCCAAAACCTGTATAGTAGTCAAACGATATATCATAACACTACCGTTCATGAATCTTTTTTCCTTCTTTGTTCAGAATATATTTCATATGAAAAAGTTAGTATGCAAATTACTATCATTAAAATGAATACACATTAATAAAATATCTTTTAGATTGCAACATTAATAAATGAACAATAAAATAAAACTTTTAATTTTCAGTTTACTTTCTACGTTAGGTATAATGGATATTGCATATTCTTATATTGATTATATTAAAAATTTAGAACATAATGAAACTCTTATAGCATTGTACTTTAGACCTCAGCCTTTTTAATCATATTATTTTTATATTATTTTAGCACACATCAATCTTAACTACCGCTGTAGAATATTAGCGAATAGTTTAATTACCCGATGCATTAAATGACTCTCAGAATGAAAGTTACTCACGTCTGGAATCGTATGTAAACTAATAATATTTATTAACTAAACATAATTAAAATAGATAAAACATACCATTAGATATCGATTTTGGCTTTTATAGTCATCGGAATAAAATATAAAGGCTAACGTCATACTATTATATTCTTTTAATAAAATAAATAAATTTAGTTTCACAAATTCACAAATTCAAAAACAATAAATTCGTTAGGTAATTTTTTTAGTTCTCTTTTTACTTGTATTTATACCAAAATATATTTTTGCAGATGAGTTATCAAATATAATACACTTCAAAAATTATAGCAAAACAATGATATTTTTGGTTGATACAAAGGCTGTCCTAAAACGTGTTGTTGTTGTTGTTGTTTGTTTGTGTTTAAATGACTGCGGACACTAAAGCCATTCGCCAATCTTACAATTTGAGGTGTAGTGTGTGTGTGTGTGTAGAGTAATTGTCTTGATACTTAGCAAAGTCGACATCATTGTCTTTGCTAAGAGACGCTAATTGTATCCGAACGTCTGCGGTCCCTCCGGTGTGTACCGATCACACAAGGATAGAAATTATTTTCATTTATTAATTTTTTTTTTTAACAAACGAAAATTTCCACCCAGGTGGGATTCGAACTCACGACCTTTAGATTTAAAGGCAGGCGCTCTTACCACTGAGCCACAGAGGGGGTTCCCTAAAACGTGTTATAGATGGGTTAATAGCTAGAATCAGCAACGATAGACATAATATCCTGAACTATGTGGATGACCTGGTCATCTTAGCCACAGCAAATATACTGACACCGTAAGAGACAAAACAGTCATCAGACTAATAATGACATATTCGGCATAAACACGACCTGATACAGAGGACAAAAAGGATGTTAGAAATAATAGAGATAAAAAACTTACAAAAATTGATGGTAAGACCCTATGAGACAGAGCTATAAGTACAGATATACGACGTAAAAACATCAAGAACTGGGTAAAAAATAGAGAAGAGTAGAATGGAACGATTATATAAGGCCAATGACAACAAATAGAGTAGTAAAGACGGCAAGAGACGGTTCCCCAATAGGAAGACGATCAGTAGAAAGATCACGAAAACGATGGAACGACGAGTTACTGGAGGCACATTGAAAAACAGACAGAGTAATGTTTACATAAAAAGAAAAAGAAGATGAAGAAGGAGAAGGAGAAAAAGTAAGAGACAGAATACACTAGTTTTTGACTGTAGTTACCATGCCCCGGAATCTTATATACATGACCTTGTAATATTTCCCCATCACTTTGAGCCCAGGCAGTTAATAAAGAGAAATGACAGCCTATCTCTCTCATGAAGACTCTAACCAATCATTTATTTTAACACAGTCTCGGGGTGTCAAAATAATCAAACGAAGCTTAATTCCGAAATGTCAATTCTGTTACAAGTAATAACAAATTTTCCGTTCGTTTCTTCGGCTCTTAACTGCAGGTTGTCTACCTAATTTTAACCGTCGGTGGTCTATTGGAACACTGTGTCAGTTCGACACGAATCGAATAAGATAACCTGTCTTTTCTCTATTTCGAGGATCGATATCTCTCTTGTTAGGGAGCGTTCTCTCCCTTAGCTGTTAGATGGCTTTTATGAGGTAATTGTAAGTCCGTCGCCAAGCTTTCCTTTACCTCAACAAATAATAATCGAAAGGTCAACAAACGCCGATTTCTACACTTTTTATTGATTTGAATAATGTCGTAGCCGTAAGGCTTCATATCTATTCAAACACTTAAGAGCTTTTGGAATCTTGTTTGAAGTTAAGTCTTCTTAGTTCGATGAAATTTTTACTCAGGTGAGAAATGAAACGCAGGAAGTTGAAAAAGGCTACTCAGCCAACTGGGTTTTGACGGGTATCAAGGTGTAGACTGACTTGATTTCGATGGGATGATGCACTGTCTTTTTACGCGTTTCGTTATTGCATATCTACAGTGATCTTCCGTCGAAAGCGAATACAAAAGCAGTTAATATTGCTCTTTGTTATTGTCCGGCTAGAGTGACAATCTTCGTTGTGATTGGTCCACTTTGGCTAAAGTTGGTGAGA